AACACATTGTACCGCTTTTGTTTTGACACTGGCGGCATAAAAGAGTTAACAGCACTAATGGGATGCTGCTGTATTGTATTACTACTAGTATTATCTTATATTTTTGTACGTACATACATACTTCTGAAAATATGTAGATACAAAAGAGGTTGAGTATTCTATTAGCGCTAGCGTTAAGTGCGTGGGTGACAGTCGCTGCTTTAAAAGTGTGGGGAGATAGTTTTTACAGCAGTTTCGTTTGTGTTTTTGTTTTTCTGTCAACGGCATTCTTGTATGCCCGCAGTCAAAGAATAAATATTATTTCAGTACGAGTAGTGCGAGTAATAGAATTATTCTATCAAGAACGCGCGCAATTACAATACAATGAGTAGAATGTTCCCACATTACAATTAAATAGTGGAGTGCACTATCCTTTGACATTTTTTGTTTTACTGCCATTTCCCAAAGGCGTCACGTAATATGAGTAGTAGTAGTAAATGGCACATCACAGGAGCAACACAAATTTGGCAGTTGAGTTGGTTAAGTGTACGAGTACTCAAATTATGTTGGCCTTATAGGCTCCACAAATTGACAAAAACTTACTATTTACTCTAGCCATGACCAGAGAGTGAGAGAGCTCTTACCCTGTGCACGCCGATGTGAAATCTACAGAAAGTTTTGATCGTTATTCGCATAGATCAGTAAAAGCATAGCTCCCGGGAAAAACTATATAAAGCTCGCAAAGGGTGAAAGCTCTCGGTTCTTCGCCGACCTGCTGCCTTAAATCTAGGCTTACGACCAAAATTCCGACTTTATTTTACTGGAGGGGAAGCTTTCCATAGATTTTAAATGGACGCGACAATTTTCTACACGGGTGAAGCTTTTTGAAACTTTTCTCAGATTTTATGTAGACGCGTAAAAGTCAAAAGCTCGCTTTGGTCGTGAGTTTTTTAAACCGAAGAAGGTTTTTGAAGCGCATAGAGTAAAAGCTCTTTACTGATCAGCACCAAACGCGATCAAAGTTCTTAATATGCTGGAGAAGCATTTGCAGCTTTCCAGTGATTTGTTGTGAATGCGGGAAAAGTAAAATCCTTCTCTTATCTTCACTGATTTACGTTAGTAATGCGCATAATAATAATGTTTTAGTCTGCCACGTCAATGCAAGACGTATAGAAAACTTTAAAAAGCTCTTCATCCAGACAAGGGGATGCCAATCGCCGATATAAAACAAAGTAGGCAATTCATAGGCTCTCGGTACATTCTGTATACGTCTGAACAGAATAAACACTGGTCTAAAGCACTTCTTGTGTAAGGGAGCTTATATCATGTGGCCGCTTATATAAAATTTGCAAAAACCTTTAAAAGCTCTGCACTCATTATGAAAGTTAATCGTTTTGTTATTGTTCTTCTTAGCTTTAGTTTTTCCCCATTTTGTTTTGATTTGGTAGCTGATTTCGATACCTTTTCGTTGAAAATTAGAGAATACAACGACTTAAATACACAAAATTTGGATGATGATTGGAGTAAATGCGGTAATCTAATCTAGGGTAAATGCGGTAATTCGCGCTCACAATTGTACTTAGAAAATTAAATATTTCGGTTCCTAATATGAGAACCCATTAAGGACGAATTGTGAATGAAGTTGTCATAGAAATGCTTTTGCAGATAACAAAGACGCATGCATCATTTACTTCTTTACCAAAGTATCCTTTCTCTTTTATTGAGGATCCATCCATCGGCGGGTATACTTCTGTGTTGAGAAGCCTTGATGACTTAAAAGTTTTGAATTTCAGAATTGTTGAATTCTTTCCACGCAAGTCTTTATGGCCTTACCTGAAAGATTTGTCGTGAAGAATCGATCCAACTTTTCTAACGAAACCACGGAGGGATTGCGACATAAAAATTCGCATCGGTTGAAGCGCGGGGCTCAGTATACTAAACATTGAGGTGCCAGATGCAACCTACCTCGTGGGATACGCAGACGACACAGTCGTAATTACTGCACGAGACACACAGGAAAAACGCAGGAGACTGAAGCAAAAACACACATATGAACCACTATAATAAATATACCAAGAAATCTGGGAAGGGAAACTGACAACGGAAAAAATGGTAAACTACCGGGGTATAAGAGTTGACCTCCACCAGGACTGTGTTATATGGAAATAAGCAGATTGACGGTAAATATTAGGATGCCAATACAACCCAAACGATAGCTTCTTATGTCAACGATGCTTTCGATATTGTTTCTTCTTCTTCATCTTTATCGACGCTGTAACTGTCTAAGCGATTTGGGCAGAGTCCAAAACAGCACGCCAGGCGTTTCTTTTCTGTGCCAACTGATGGCAATTGGAAATTTCAAGTGACACCAAGTCCTTTTCCATCCGGTCATTCTTTATCGTCTTCGCGTTGAATACTTTCAGAGCTGGAGCGTTTCTGTCCATTCGAGCGGCATGACCTATGACAGCTCATAGCCGTAAACCTTTCGCAGAATCTTTCTCTCGAAAACTCCAAGAGCCGCCTAATCAGGTGTCCATGCCTACACGCCATACACCAGCACAGGCATTACGGCAAGAGAGGACTTTACTTCTCAATTGCCTGCTCAGTGGCATGCGTTCGTCTTACCATATTCGGCCTAAGAGGTGCAGGAATCAACCTTATCAGCTTCTCGTCGCCGTATTTGAATAGCTCGGCTAGCAGGCCGTCAACTCCAGCAGCTATGTTGGTTTTCATCCCCGTAATCGCTATTAGTACCTAGTCATAGTCAGGCGGTGAGACATCGATTCCATCGTCATCTACAGGGGTCTTAGGTTCGTCTTCTTCACAACTTTTAGTGGTGCGGCAATTCAATAGGGAGGAAAAGTGTTCCAATTTTGCGGACCTGTGCAAAAATAACCTAACGAAAACAAAAGAGCCTGAATGCATATACGGCGACTCGAGCTCGGACGATGCATGTTCGAGATGGCAACAAGAGCAGCGTTCTTAGGCTAATTTGCTGTGAAAAGAATCAGCCAAAATGTGCTACCCAGTGAAGAGAATTGGAAAAAATAAGTAACTATGTATTTAGTAAATTGCACTTCGAAAAAACAAGGCCCTGACACAGAAACACCGATGGTCATCTCTTAAATGCGAAATAGAAAAAGTGATGCCAGGCAGGGTGACATTTCCTAACTGGGGGGGAAAGTGTTTAAGTCTCCGGACATACCACTATTGCATCGACACTATATCACTATATCATGACGACACTTTAGACAAGTCATATCTGGGTAAGGAGGACAACGGTTATCTCCGCAGAGTGTGATACAAGGTTTCTTATAGCCAACCTGTAAGTGCATCCAATTTGGATATTACAGGAAACGGCAATGCTGGAAAATTAAGAAGGCTTGACATCATTTTTGAGGTGCCACCATGTAAAGTTGGCATAGAGCATCGTTGGTCACTTGCACTGTGATGCTGAAGGAGCTCCTTAGACTAAATAAGAACCAATTATTAATATAGAAACCAGACCAATGAAGTGTTGAAATTTAAGTAGTGTAGTTCAGTATTTCTACAAGCATGAACTGTGGAAATTGTCTTGAAAGCATTTGAGGAGGAATCATCTTAGTACCTTCTGTTCAGCTGCGTTGCGAAGCTAAGACTTCGTTATTTAGGTGGTTGTCATGTTCTGCAAAACTTTTTTGAAGTGTGAGGAATGAAAATTGGTTGCTTCCGAAGTTTTAGGTAAGCTCGTAGAGGTTTTTGCACATTTCACCTTAATTTTGTTATCGTTAATCAAAAATACATTTTGTAGAGTTCCATTTCAAAAGGAACACAGACAAAACTTAAACTGAAATTTCAACTTACGAATTCAAAGAAAAGTTATATACAATAGCCACTGTACTCAAATAATTTTTTTATTTTTATCCAGCACCCTTTGCAGACGTAGAGCTTCAGCTTTGTAAATTTTTTAAAAGTTTGGCGCTGGAAACACAAAATTTCTTCCACTAAGTTTCTGTTAAATCATTAAAAACTCCATTAAGTTCTATCTAACCACAAACCAATGACACAGCCAAACTTTTGATTTAAAATAAAAAACAAATCGAGTAATCACTTACAATAACAACAAAACGATTTTCAATTAACTTTCAAAAACATTACTTAACAAATAGGAGAGTGACCTTTTTCGAAATCAAACTATGCCAAGGAATACAAGTACAGAAGCAAATCAACCATACGTAAAGAAGATGAAAGAAAAATTTCGGCTGTCCAAAAACGGCACAAGTTTAGTTAACAATTAAAGGGGTGCAGGCGTTGACGATGAGTAAGGCCGCACACGCAAGCATTAAGCCTCTGGGCATTTTTAGAGTTTTGGGACAAAAACACAAATAGTCTGAAATTGATACATAGATTGAGCTGGGGTCGAAAGGGCAATGGCACTGGCTAGTGTAGTGGAAAAACCTAATGCAAAAAAAAAAATGAAATGGGTTGGTGCCAGGCTTTGGAGATTTTTTCCTAATGGAGTGGGTGCGAGGCTCCACGTTTAATAAACCTTTCTATATAAGTATCGTTTAAGCAAAGAAATAAATATGTGAAGCTCGTAAAGCAAGTATGTAATGGGAAAATGCGTTGATTTATTTACAATAATTTAAACGAGTAGGAACATTAATACATAAATATTTTTTTACCTTTTTTATCTTCACTTATTACTAGTTATTTTGTTATACTACATACATATATATAAACTCTACTAATACTATTTTCACTTCTAATGCGCGATATTTACATTAGCATACTCTACCATTTGAAGAGCAAAATTTTCAAGAAGTCATACAAAAAATTATGCACAAAGTAGACTACATTAAAGCTGTCCTAACGAGAGTAAAACAGGTGGTGCTCGAACGAAAGCAGTTTTGGCAAAGTCTACTTTTATGCATAGATAACTTTCTCATGTTCAAATATGTACTCTTTACTAGGTGGCTTAAAGCTTTTAATAAATAAAAATTTGACCAGGAAACAGTTTTTTGGTCCACTCTTTACTTTATGTTGGCGTCTCCACCAGCGTTGTTAAATTGGTAGAATTCACCTCCAATGCTTTTGCAGTTTTTGTTTGTAGCTGTGTATTCGCCGCTAGCGCTCGTCTCGCCGCATAACGGTCGACCCAACGGCGCACACAGGGCGAAAGTAGTTTTGTGTCCATATTTTCTATCTTATTGGGACCCAGTGCAAGGCTGGTGATCAAGGCGACGACGATTGTTATCAGCGAGCCGAACATTGTGTAGAAGAGGTAGGAGATGTTGTAGATGTGAAAGGTGTCGTCGCTGGTTGGGGAAAAGGGGGAAATATTTTTTTTTTTAGAAAAACTGCTTTGAAAGGTAAAATGAATTGAATTTTAAGTTAGTTGAGTTGAGTTGAGTTTAGTTTAGGTGAGGTTAGTTTAGTTTAATTGACTTAGTTTAGTTTGACTATTAAGTTAGTTTAGTTTGTAGTTTAGATTAGTGGAAATTAGGATAAATTTTTTCAATTATTTATTCGTGTTTTCAATTGTAATTTATTTTTCTCCTTTGATTTGTTGAACAATTTTAATTTAATTTTTGAATGGTGTATGAATTTACTTTACTACTTTATTTAATTCATATAATAATCATATTTTTTATTCAATTTAATTTTTTGTTCGTTTTGTGTTTTTATATTTTTACTTTATAATTTTTTTATCCCTTTTCGAGTTTTTACATAATTTTTTAATTATTTTAAATTTATTTCATATTTTTTTTATACCATTGTACTTTTTAATTTTATGTTATGAAATCTTATTTCAATTTAATTTTTCCCGAATTTTTTTTTTTTTTTTAATTTTTCAGTTTATACATCATATTTTAAATTTTCTTTGTTTATTAAATTTGTTATTTTTATTTATTACCTATTCAATTTATTTTTTTCTTTCCATTGTTTTCTTTTTATTTAAGTAAAAATAAATTGTATAATTAAAGTTTTTTTTTTGTTTATTCGTTTTTATGTTACTAACTTAAGTTAAGATTAGTTAATGCTGAGCAAAATTTTTTATATTATTAAATTTTATTTATTTTTTCAGTTTAACTCAGTTTTAACATTAATTTGTTAAGAAAATTTAATTAACTCTTTTAGTGGCGTATATAATTATTTTATTACTTCATTTAATCTTTATTTGACCTAACTTAGTTTTATCTTATTTTTTTATTCAATTTCAATTGTTGTCTTTATTTTTGTTTTACTTTATCAACTTTTGTATTCTTTTATTTACCCTTTGTAAGTGTTAAATTAATTTTGTAATATCATAATTATATCAGTAAATATTTGTTTTATTTAAAATTTTTTTTGCATATTTTATTTTATTTTGTTATTAATTGCTTGTTTTTAATTGTTAAATATTTTTTATTAAATTTTAATTTTTCAATATTTTATATCAAAATTTATACTCTTAATCAGTTTTTGTTTTCTTTTTTATTTAATTTCAGAATCTTTTTTTTTGGTTTTATTAATTTTATGTATGCTTATTTTATTTTGACTGTTTTTCTTTATTTAAGTAAACATTTATTTTATTTTCGTAAATTTTTTTTTTATACTTGTTTTTATTTTTTCCGATGTTCTTAACATTTTTATTTTTGTTTTCTTTAATTATTTATTTTTTTTATTATTTACTGCTTTTTTAATTAAATTATTTACATTTCTCATTATTTTACATTGACATTTAGCTTTGAAGTTTCTACTCACTTCATATGCACTGGCGTTGTGGACTCCGTAATATTCTCAGCTACCATACTCATCGAAGCAAAATCTATAAACGTATAATTGCACCCCACAATGGTGTGTGGTTTCCTCAGGTAGCTTACAGCGCCACTAGCCAGATCCGCCTGTGCGCGTATGCACATCCAGGCCATGAAAAGGAGACTCGTAAAACCGCCAACCATAGCGCCCTGCACCACGAAGAGAAATATAATATATGAGAGTATGTATATATAGAAGGTCTTAAGCGCACATTATTCCCCCACCATATACTCACCCTTCCCTCAACCCAGGGTACCATAACGCCCGCAGTAAAAATACCCAGCAACGGTCCATTCGCCACAGATGATAGAGTTATAGTCAACTGAAGCACTGTGCCTAGCTTCTCCACAACAAAAACTAGGCTTACACAAATAGCACCGAAAATTATCACAACAAAACGCATGATTAGCGCCGTCTGTCGCTCAGTAAGCGGCTTCTTGGCAAATGATTTGAAGAAGTCCTCGAGCATTACCGCTGACATAGAGTTCAAGCCAGTGGAGAGTGATGAGAGCGCAGCGCTAAAGACGCCAGCCACAAAGAGACCAGGCAAGCCAGGATATTCGCCCAGTATCTCCATGACAAGTAGCGGTAGTAGTTGGTCATTACGCTTGGCGAGCTATAAAGTGTGAGAAGAATATTAGTCGTTTAGAAACCTGATTTTTAGCGAATTAACAGACCTTCGTTTGCAGCGGATCACAATCGTGATAAGTCGCATAGATCAGTAGGCCGCTATAGCCGCAAAGGCAAATAAATGTTAACACGCCGCAAATGAAGATACAAACAGCTGTGCGCGCCGATTTCATATTCGGTAGCGAGAGATAACGTTGAATCATATTCTGGCTAATGGCATTCGATTTGAGCCAATGAGCGACGCCGCCAATGAAGAGCGAATAGACTGTATAGCGTTCGGTGAGGTCAAAGGTGAAGCTGTGAAAGTAAAACCACAGAGAGAGAGAAAGGAGAAATGAGAAATAAGCTCAGTTGTAAATTTGAAAATTAAATTACTTCGGCGACTCAATGCGTCCGCTTTCCTTAGCTTTCTGATAAACAGCACCAAAACCACCCACATCAATGGTACCTTTGACAATAATTAAGAGCATGGCGCCAAACATGATGAGCGTTTGCACAACATCTGTCCAAACAACAGCTTTCAAGCCACCCTAAAGGGAAAAATGAGAAGAGAAATTAAAGGAGCCAAAACTCTTTTGCAATTTGAAAGTTGTCATAAATAAAAACTTACTACACAAGTGTAAAAAATGCACACCAAACAAACAATCGGTGTTACCAGATGTATATTAATGCCTGTAGCCTGGTTAAAGGCCAATGCGGGCACATAGATGACAATCGGCAGCCAGAGTAACTATTGAGAGGAAGAGACAATAGTAGACAAAATATTCATATTTTGAAATCCATTTTTTTTATTCCAAGTGGAGAAACTCGAATTTCCCATGCACTCACCGATCCGAACATGAAGAGCACTGAGCCGAATAGACGCATGCGCCTGTCGTAGCGTGATTCCAAATACTGTTGTGTGTTTTGTGAAAGCATACTATGAAACCCTTTATCTATTGAAAGTGTTTAAACTTACCTGATATGTGGATATAAGTTTGAGATCGTGAAACACCGGCAAGAAGAAGTAATACAACACAAAACCCATTATCAGCAAGGAACCCATAATATAGAGATATTGAGTGCCGAAAAGATATACTTCCGTGGGTGTGCCCAAAAGCGTAATGCCGGATATGAAACTAGAAATACAAGATAAACCGTTTTAATTAAGTCGTAATCCTTACTAATATTATAAATCCGAAAGTGAGTTTGTTTGTTTGCTACGCTTTCACGCTTAAAGTCCTGTATGCAGCTCTCAAGAAACGCAAAAACTCCATATAAAATGACGTACAAGAAATGGCTAAGAAATTTTCTTGAGTCAAATTTCCTTAAGGCAGTACGCAGTTCTTAAGGAATTTGCTACGCTTTCTACTACGGTTTTCTAAAGTTTTTTGTGAAAAAAGAGCACAAGGCAACCCAGGTTTGCAACAGAAATATATGCCCGCTCCATTATTTCTTGAGAAAAGAGTGAGGCAACAGGTTGTGAAGTATCAAAAATGTCAAAATTCCTTGGACACACACACGAAATAATGGCAATTTTTTATTGACCGTTTTCTTGAGAGCTGCATACAGGGCATTAACTACTCAACCGGTCATCATGAAATTTTGTACACTGCTGTCATTTAGCCTAACTTAAAATATAGGATAAATTTAATCTCGATTAAACAAGGGGGCGCGGCACCTCCCATACAAACGGAATATTTCATACTGCATTTCTCAGGAAATATTTTTGATAGATTACTGGGACTTGGTATGGAGATATATAAAATCATTTTCTACTCATGGATGAGAGCTGCCACCTTTTAAACAAATCAAATTCAACTTTAATGTAGGGAGTTATTTAATTGAAAATTATATTAAAAAATGGATGTCAAGAGGCTTAAAAAAGCTGTAGTTCGAATATATTTTGAAAAGGGTTGCCACCTGTTTGAAAAGTCCAATTTAAATTAATTATACGCAAGCTATCTCAAGAATTAAAATATGATTTTCTAACGAAATATTGTTAAGAAACCTTTAGTTTAAAAGTTTTGAATAATATTTAAGTCTTTCACAAGGGTTACCACCTTTTTAAAAATTAAATTCAAAAATTAAATTTTACAGTAAAAGGCGCGCGATGGTTCTGGCAGTTGATTTATCGGTAGTGATTTGAGATTTACCCCTGCACAACTTAGCCCTGGTTCTCGGAATGAAGCTTAATAATACTGGCAAATCACATCCATTGGGCCAATTGTAACACACAAGCGTACGTTTATACTCATTGGTGCAACAGGTCGATTTAACCTGACATTCCCGGCACCTTTTCTAACTTGGAGATTATTCGTAATGACTCCAGCGCCACTTGGCAGCCTTTTGTGGCAATAGTATTGCCAATACATATTTTGAATATTGGCCAAAGTGGATCATAAATAAGATTTTTAGTAATAACTTAACTCCAGCGCCAACTTGCGGGTGAAATTGTGAAACTAGACTCAAAAGTACACAAAAAACTTCGTTAAAATCGGTCCGGGAATTCAGGAGGGTTTCACTCACCATTTTTCTCCATGACTATAAGATTGATTTGATTATATATTTTGCCGTACCCAGTTTCGGTATTCTACAATGAACACTTCCAGAGATACACAGCAAGAAAAATCGGTTTGTACAGGAGGTGCCATGACCCCTTCATATATCGAAATTTTTGCAGCCTATAACCATCCTTGGGACGTCTGAAGCAGCTGTCCGAAATTTCAAAATAATCGGTTCGCCCGTTCTCGAGCTTTGCGAACAGATAAAAATATATTATTATAGATTATAGAATATAGATTATGGAAGATTGGTATGAATCGAAATGATTTTGAATATGAGTGTCAGACGAAAGAAGTTTAAAAAGTTTGCCAACTTGAAATAAATTTTACTTAGTGTAACGCGTAGAAAGTTCATACACTGAGCGGAGCGGGTGAGGGCGATCTAGTACTGTGCAATGTGCACTTGTAGACCAGAAAACAATCTAGATACCTCGGACTTCAGACTAACTACCAGTAAAATAGTTAATATATTGTATATACATATATAGAGTGACCATATTAGCAGTGTTTAATTCCTTAATTATACATAGCTTAGTAGAAATGAAAGACCGATGGTAATCTTCATCGAAATGCTTTTGTTATTATAGCACAAAAGTCTTAGAAAGAAGTCCGCTAATTCACGAATCATGGTAAAAAGCTATTTTGCCAGAAAGCACTTTCTTATATTTTAATTGAAATTTTTTCTTTTTTAGTTTATATTTCTATTTTTTGATTTTATGGTTTAAAAAGGATAAAAACTCTTCAATTTCAGTGATATTATAGGAACTTTATTTTTTTCATTAATAAAGTTTTTTTGAATTTAATTTCGTTGCTATTTTTAGATTTTGTATTAGAAATAAAAAATATTTGGTTAATTTTATCTATGTAATTTTTAGGAACTTATTTAAATTTGTATTTTTTTTAAATTCCATTTCCATTTATATTTCTGACTTTATTGATTTGAAAATAATGTGTTTTTTTAATTCCTGGAGTTCCTAGTTTTGTGTGGTTGTTGTAAGCTATAAATTTTTTGACCTTGTCGGCCTATTTGCTCCCTTTCAGATTTGCGATTCATTTAGTTTAAAAAAAGAATTAATTATTTTGGTGACAAAATTTTTTACATAAAGCTTATTTAGATGGTTATACAAACTCCATCTCTCTCCGTATTTTTTACATACTTATTCCCATAGGCAAACTTTTGAACAGATTCCAAAGCGCCAATTTAAAATTTCATATAGAGATCTCTTTTAATAGGGAATATTGGTGGGCAGTGTGGCTTTTTAGCCGGCCCCAATACGGGCTTATAGAATTATATTCACCTGAAAAGGCTGCACTAATTAAGCGACTAGAGCACGGTCAGCAGATTGTCCTAATCGGTATTAGTGGTGCACTAAGGACCCGTCCTGTCACACAAGGAATTGACATTCAGCTCAGCAAAACCGGGTGACTAAACAGCTCTCACAGTTTGTGGGAGTTACGACAGGCCACATGAAAAACGCAAAAACTGCTGCTAATACTGAAGCGCAAGAGATTATTGGCCTACCCATCTTTATTCCGCCCACTCTGCATGCAGGATTCTGCGGGTTTGATTTTTAGGCGTACTATATAAAACTACCTAAACAAGCGTCCGATGGCCTTTTACCAAGTCAATTCGGTATCCAAAAAAA